TATTAATAAATTTTAAACCTAAGAAAAATTTTCATTTGTTAGTAGCGTCATCTATGAATTTAATTTATAACTAAAACTATTTTATGAAATAAAAACAAAAGTTATAAGGAACAACTTAGTCATATTTACTTGCTTATGTTGCTCATCAATAAAAAAAAAAAAAAAAAAAAAAAATGCAGGAAAACAAATTTTATACAGATTTATAATTTATCGCCTGCTTTTTCCTTCATTAGAAATTATCATTAAATGAAAAATATATTGTATAATTAAAATGTTCTGAAAATTCACTGAGAAAAATTCAATCATGTAAATGATAATATTACATAAAAATATAAACTCTAAAATCCATTAAATTTTGATATAGATTTTAAAATTTGTTATTGTTTTCTAATGAATTTTTGACCACATATTTTTAAAATTTTAAATGGCTTCAGTCAGTGGCGTACACATGAATTTTTCAAAGGGGGGGAGGGGGTTCGGGGACGAAAGTTCACCATTATTGAATCATGCTCCTTTTGATTTTGTCGATTTTCGGGAACAAAACACAGTAAAAAACTAGTTTTTGAATAAATAATTAGCATTAATTAATAAAATTAATCATTAATAGCAAGTAATTAATTAAATTTTGCGTACTATATACTTAAAATTATAATTAATCGGAAAAAAAAATCAATGGCTTTGAGGGAGGGCGGTCCGGTCCCCCCCCTTGTGTGCGCCACTGGCTTCAGTAACTTTTTAAAAAAGAAAAGTTGTTTACTAAAACAATCTTCCATTTGTACAAGTTTCTCTATTTTCAACAATTCCACATTTTCTTAAAATTTAAAATTTTCTATTACATTTTAGATATTAACCTCTACTTTACTGTGAATTATTTCATTATATTTATAAAAATTCAGCGCTTATATTTGTTTTCAACCATTTTAAGTAATTTTTCAGAAATTTTAATTTTTTTTTTTTTTTTTTGGCTTCTACAATTTGAATTCAGTATTTAGCTTCTTTTGTCACTCCGGATTTCAATCCATTTTAATTTAACGATGCAAAAAATTCAAATCTTATTTATTTCAAAATAGATATTCATATTATTTATCAGACTTTTTATTTAGAGAAATTTCGTTAGAAACCACATCATAAGTTATATTAATACAGATAAACATCAACTGAATAACCAGTATTACAAGTAAATGTACTTTTTCTTTTGTGAATCAATTTGTATTTCCGAAAAAATTTCAAGTTATTCTCCCTTTAACACATTTTATGGTGGTCATAAATCTTGAATTAATTTTATAAGGTGCCTCACTCGCCGAGAGCAATAGAGTTCTAGACGTTTCATCCAAGAAGTGCAACCTTTATCTCCCTTTGCCCAGTTCACTAGAAAAACATCTTCGATATCCTCTTTCAACCTCAGAGGAGTTGTCCTGTGTCCCCGTGTTCTAATTATAAAATAATGTATGCTCAATATTACTTGTATGCTTTAAATTATAAAATGGTCTTAAAATTCATTAATTTTAGTATAAAATTATTTTCTTAATATTAAAAATGTAGTGAATTCTTCGACATTCTTTTTTCTTGTTTTCCTTGCAGTTTTAATTTCTTTCTTTCTTAATGGGTAAGATATATAAAATAAGCATATATTAATTTTAAAAAAAGGTGTGAATAATTACTTTATTTAATATATAGTGTTTATGAATTTAAAATTTGTTTTATGTGGTTTATAAAGTCTATTAAAAGATGAACTCTACATAACGAATTTTCCATATAACGAACTTTTTTCCTGGATTTAGCGACTTCGTTATATAGAGGTCCGACTGTATTTACCTTGTTTAAAGTCCGACTTAAAACTTATTCATATAGAAATTAACAATTATAAATTTGAAAAGTTAACAGTGTTACTTATTTGTAAACTGAGATAAATAATAAAAATTCCTAGAAATTTATGAAAGAAACATTGCTGCAAATAGATGTTCTTATGCCTAGAAGAGTTATTTAAAATTCAATTTTTCTCAAATTAAGAACTAAGTTTTGCTTCTTTACAACAGTTTTGTAAGATCTGTCCTGACTTATGCATCAGAGTCTTGGCCATTGACTTTTCGTGATGAGGAGGCGTTGGAAATTCTCGAGAGAAAGATCTAAGTTGCATTCTTTGTGGGATCCAAGTGAATGAATCATGGAGAAGATCTAACTTAGAACTCTACAAAATTTACAAACAACCTGATATTGTAAAATTGATCAAATTACAGAGACTTAATGGGCTGGTCATCTGGCTAGAATGAATGAAGATCTTTGCCCCAAGAAAATCTTTCTGGCAAAGCCCGTGAGAAAAAGTCCTCGGGGCAGACCCCCGTTAAGAAGGATTGACCTTATCGAAATATACTTAAATATTTTAAAGATCAAAAACTGTAAAACGAGGGGCCAAACGTTGTGATGTCTCGAGAAAACTTCTAGAGAAGGCCAGGGCCCATCCAGGGCTGTCGAGCCATTGAAGAAGGAGATATGTCACTTTTGTTTACCTGAAAACTAGAAGTTGGGAAAAATTTCAATTGAAAAATGTAAACAAACAAATTAGGGAATTTGACTCCCTCGCTTTTTTTAGATAAAAAAAAGCAAAAACACTCTTTTTGATTAAAAAAAAAATCTATTTTAAAAAGAGAAATAATAACTATACAAAAAGGAAGATGTTGTAAATAAAGCAGGATATTTCTGAGGCATTAAAATAATGTGTAATTTTTTTTCTTTGTGAAATGTGCGCAAGTAAAATTTTTTAACTAGGACATTTTAAATTAATAATTTCATAATTTAAGTTGGTTTTAATCATATATTTTTTTATACAAATATAACATTTCAATATCGTGTAAAGAAAAAATCTAAAATTTTTTGTCAAGACAGATTTTTTTTTAAACATTTTTCTTGAATTTTCTTGTATAGTTAATTCTCTCAAAAATTGATCACTTATACAAAAATATGGGTTGCAATAATATGAAAATTCAATTATTTTTAAGAATATATAGCTAATGTCTTAAAATGGTGTTTTAAGTTTATTTAAGCTTATTATATTTATTTTTTCAGAATTATAAACTTAAAAGTGATTTTTCTCAGTCTGTTTTTTCGACACATCAGTGCAATCAAAATGTTACTCCTTTCACAATTATTTACTAATCACTTTCATTTTTTTCCCCTGTGTGTTAAATATAATATATAAATATATATAATATATAACACCAATCCACACAGCCCCATTTGAAATAAAAAAATATCTAATACATGTAACAAAATTAGGGATTCATTTTACTGTAAACTGAATGATTTTCTAAGAAAATAAATTGCAGGAGATATTGGCTTTTTTCGTTGAATTTTAGCATGCTATCAACATTTTCCCCCCTGAAAAACTAACTAAGTTATTGTGAAATTGATCCCTAAAGTTGTTTAAAACATCTTTAAGAATATTGTAAAAAAATTTCAGGCCACAGAATTAATAAATACAAAAAGAGTAACATTTTAAAATTTTTTAAATTTTTTAAAAAAATTTTAAAATTGTGTGTGTATATATATATGCAAAATTTCATCTCGTATCATTTTCTTGAATCGAAACATTGTATGAAATGCTAAAATATAATTTTAAATACATAAATAAAAAAAAATTGTTTAAAAGGTACCGGTCATCTTAAACAGTGCTCCGCAACCTCTTTATCACTGCGGACCGGTCAACGTTTGATAATTTTACCACAGCTCGCTGAGGGTGGGACATGTTGATTGTTTATATTTCAGATTGTTTTGGTTAACAATTTTAATTTATTTACATTTAAATATGCCTTCAGAATAAAATATAGTTACACAAAAATGAAAAAAAGTTTTTGAACGTGAAATATAAAGTGGTTTCCGTGGAAAGTTGCGCCAATCCGAGAGAAATGCACCCCTTTAAATAAAATGGCAATAGTTTAATGTTCTTTAGGCGGCCCGGCACCATTTGATCCATGGACTAGTGCCGGACCGGGGGTTGCGGATCTTAAATATATCGTTCAAGCAATCTTACAATATAACGAAGGGAATGGAAAGAATGCCATCCTACATAAAAATGAATTGTTTTTTTTATCGATTTGAGGGTATTGCTTTTACAGTCTAATACAGTGGTCCCCAACCTTTTCATCACAGTCAATCTTTGTTAATTTTACCGCTGAGAGGGAGGACAATTATTGTTTATATTTTAGACTGTTTTGATTTAATAATTTTAATTTATTGTAATTAATCGTGACTTCAGAATAAAATATAGCTACACCAAAAAATGAATATAAAGTGATTTAACGAGGAATATAAAGGGATTTTCATAAAAAGTAACCCAAACCCACAAGAAAAATAGACCACAGTAAATAAAAGGGAAATAATTTAGTGTTTCTTGTGCGGACCGGTGGTATTTGATCCACGGACCAGGGGTTGGAGACCACTGCTCTAATATATTCTTTTTGTCATTTGTAATTTTGTATCGCAAATCTTTTTAATAGCAAAAATTACATTCTACGCATAACGTTCTAATAACGAACATTGTAATTTAAAATTTTAATAATACTTAAAAGTTATCTGCCTCTAATGCGTTGAATCATCGAGTCCGAGTGTGAGTTTTGTGAATTCAAATCTTTTAAAATTGTATTCATTGTATCTAATTACTTTTTAAATTCCAACTTTTATACTTCACTCTCTCCCTATATTAAGTATATATATATAAATATATATATATATATATATATATATATATATATATATATATATATATATATATATATATATATATATATACATATATATATTTCAAATTTTCAAACGTTAATAATATGCTTTCTTTTCATTCATTCAGGTTTAAATACATTTTTTAAAACTTGTAGTGGATGATACTTGATGTTAATACAATTTATTCAAATATTAATTAATTCATTGAATTAAAAAATGAATAAATAGTAACAAACAAAAATAATAGTCCAACAGCATATATATAAAGGAAAGTCTTTCGTTGTGTCCCTGCAGCGCAATGGATAGCGCGTTGGACTTGTTGTCCAAAGGTCGTGGGCTCGAATCCCACCCGGGATGGCCTAATTTCTGAGCATGTGATTTCTTTTTTACTAAACTACTTTATAAGAAAAATTAAAATTTAATGAATGAATAAAAGGTAACAAACAAACAAATTGCCGAACACCTTATATAGAGAGGAAAATGGCTTTCTCTATTTGCCACTTACTTTCGTGTGTCGCCAAATTCTTGAAATGTGCCGCCAAATGTTTGTAAAATTATTAATTCTACTCTGAGGGGAAAAAAAGTCCAAAACCGAATCATTCGGGCATTTTATAGAAATAAACAATTCATAAAATTCTTATTGACCATTTGTTTACTCTGGAGAAGAAGGTTATTTATTACTTCCCAAATTCAGATATAAAAAAAAAAATGATTGGGTTCGTAACCTATTTGTGATAACGGATACATCTGTGTCAGGGGCGTAGCTTCCAACGTATGAATGATACGGGAGCCCTAATATATGTATGCAAAAAATCGTAAAAAAATAATGCTTCCAAAACAGGGCCCCCAAGGAATTTTCGATACAGGGCCTTCTCACAACTAGCTACGCTAGCGATCTGTGTATAAATTAACTTTGCATGAAGAGGAAGAACTAGTTTCGCTCTGTAATAATCGAGATTTTATTTCAAAACATTAGGAAAAGTCAATTAATTCACTTTGAATTAAAATTAGAGGCAATTATCCCATAATAGCCAAAAAAGCTTTTAAAATATTGTTACAGTTTTCTGTATCTTATTTGTGTGAATTCGGATTTTGAGCATTAATAAATATAAAAATGAAACAAAGATCGAGACTTAAACGTAGATGACGAAATGAGAGTGGCATTATCATTTTTAAGTCCCCATGCAAACAAATTATCAAAAATCCTCAAGCTCAAATTTCGCATTAAATGAATTATGATAATTAGTTTGTAATTAATTACTTAATAAACATTTTTCTGTCGCTGTCATACACTATTACTCGTTTATTTATTTATTATTATTTTACGTACAATTTATTGTATTTAGTTAATGTTGAAAATTGTTATCATAAACTATTTCACATAGTGTATTATAGATAAGTAAAATTCTTTTAAACTTATTTTATTGTTACTGTGTCTCCAAATTTTTTGAAATTGTTAATAGTGTACCATAACAAACAAACAAAAAAAAAAGGGTCGAAAATCACTGATCTGGGATATCGAGTTAAAGCGTTCAAATATCCTTAAAAAACTCGAAAAGAAATTTAAAAAAAAGAAAAAAAAAGAGAATAAAAATTAATACATGAAAAGAAATGCAACGCTTTCTTTTTTAAATGTTTTCTATTGCTTATTTTTTTTCTTGAGTGATACCGTCGGGTTTTTTTTCCCGTAAAAAAACTTTTTTTCAAACTAACTTTTTTGATGAATATTTTTTTTTCATTACAATTTTAAAAAGTAGTGGATTCAAATCTTTATAGTTCCTTTTTCCTTCATCTATTACGTTGCGTATCATATATATATTCACTTTTTTTGATTTATTGTTTTTAACTTTGCACTACGGAATACAATTAAAAGTGGACCTCGTAATTTTGATCCACGATCAAAAGTGACGAGGACGACATGTGCGATAATAATTCGCTCTCGCATTATGCCAACATGAACGTCAAAAAATTTTTTAACTTGTATCTGTCCCTCAACACGGTAAATCTCTTTAGTACATGATTTTCGAGGTTTTTCATAAATATTAAGGAGCGTCGTTAAATTGTTTAATTACGTATCGCGCGGATATATTTATCCTTAAAGTATGTTTAGTTGATTAAACTTGAAAATTAAATGACAAAAAAAACGAAATTTATTCGGTTTTCTGATAATATTACTATTTGATTTGCTTTAAAAAAAATCGATACTCAGCTTCTTCACAGCGATCTGTACACTAAAATCTGCAAAAACATTACCAATCAACACGGTACGTCATCCATCCCTGCCGGGATTCGAACCCGGGACCTTTGGATTAGAAGTCCAACGCGCTATCCACTGCGCTACAGGGACTACATATAACAAATGCAAAGAATAGTAGTGAAACGAGGAAAAATAAAAAATAAATACATAATGCATTAGTTTTGAAGCTAAAAGTTCTTGCGGAAAAGATAGTGTACTGAGTGACGATCAGATTTTATTGTTTCCGATGCTTCTTTTATTTAACTATGTATCAAATTGTTCCACAATACGATAAAAATAAGAATGTGAGAAGCGGGAAACGAAGATGTACTGTATATGCAATTATTTTTTAAAAAATAAATTTGAAAATAATAATGAGGAACATTATCAAAAAATAATACGTTGACAAACAATTTTTCTTATTCATGTTTTAATTTTGTGAAATTGTTTCGATATTTATCTTCAAATGTTTGATTTGGCATTTTGGAACATTTTTTTTAAAGTTTCTACCAATATATTTAATAACTGGTCAAAATTGCTGAATTATATGTTTGAAGTTTCAAACATAAGATAATAAAAACTTTATTTCAGAGTGCTTCAGTTAAATGCTCAATATTTTTTTCCTTAATCAGTTAAAAAAATCACATTTACGCAGAATTGTATTTTAATTTTTGCGCCATGATCATTATAGAAAAAAACATAAAAAAAATTTTTTTTTAAATATTTGGTATTGAAAATATTCTCGCCAAAAATATTTTTTCATAGTATTTTCTATAAATTGCGAGGGAATACAGAACAATTAAATAAATGGAAAATAAAAAGAACAATATGGATGCTAATTTTCGAAAAATAAATGTCAATTTTGTATATTTTGCAGTTATAAAATAGATACTAGATGGCAGCACGTGTTTATGTTCAATTTTTCTAGTGTTTATGATAGAAAATAATTAACAGTGCATTAATTTTTTGGATAAAAAGAGAATGTTATGAAACTTTAAATAATTTATCATTAAAACGTTTGTAAGAAAAACTACAAACATTGGATGTACGCAATATTATTTATCTTTTCCCGTAATTACTGACTTTGTTTTACGTTTCTCTGTTTCCTTATTTTCAGATGATTTTTAAAATAATAAACTACTTGCAAATAATTTTTAATGCTTGTTTACTCCTTTAATATTTTCTCTATACGTATTCTTTATTTTAAATTTAAAAAAAAATTATCATTTAAAATTTGTCCTCTTTTCATTTAAAATAGAATTTCTGATATGCAATTCAATTTTTTTTTAATTATCGAATTTTTTTTATTAAATTTGTGAACACAAAAACATTGATAAATTTTATATATAAACATCATAATAACATGGTAATATGTTGCACAGTAAATTTCTGGTAAAATTCTCTAAACCCTACATTTTTAAAATTTTTTAATTTAAAATCATCAAGAACATTTTTTTCCCTTGAATAATAAAAATTGACGAAACACACACAATACTTCTTTTTTAAAGGCCATACAAACATTTTTTTACACAGTTTTTCCTCGGTTTATTTAAAAAATATACTTATGCGTTTTTATGAGCATAAGATATTCCATTGCGAATTTTTCGTTTGAACGCATACTAGTCGTATCAGATTTTCATGGAAAATTTTGAAATTTATTCGAATTTCGAAAATATTATTATTTAATTAATCGAAAACATATTTTATTAATTGAAAGTACTATTTTCGAAGAAAATATATTTGGTATAAATTAACATGGGTAATATTTTTTATGTGAATATTGTTCAAATATATAAATATATTTCTCCTAAATATAAAAATATAACAAAAAGTTTTATTCGTATTTTTTTAAAGCTTAACTCTTTTTTGTTTATTAGTTCTTTGATCCACTTAACAAGAATTCTCCTAGCATGGAATTTTTTAGGAACACAATTGTGTTTTATGTACAAGAGGCAACCGAAAGTAAATTTTCTAAGACAATATTTATGTTTTATAGGATTTATTCTTATTTAGATTTTTAAAAAAATGAAACTAAAAACAAAAGAATCCGGTAAGGAAAGTAAACACAGCTATTAGGAAACTTTAGGAATACTCAAAAATCACATCGGATCTCGATTATTCGATAATCGGATCTATAGCCAACATCCTTTTTAGTAATATTGAAATTTTTAGGGAAGGGAAAAAATGATTCCTACCTTTTTGTTTCGCGTTTTTACAAAGCCCAACATCCTGTTTTATGTTTTGTTCATGCAGTCAAAATTTTGTCTTTCTTGATATATAGTGTACAAATTATGCTAACTATTTTAGAAAAATTCAGTTCTATAAACTTGTTACTAGGGATTGCACTATTGGATCAAAAGTACAATACCGGTATTCGGTATTTTTTAGATCTTAATACCGGGATAACGGTTTTAATACCGGTAGTAGAAATTTTAGAAAAAGATAGAAAACACAGGTGTCCTTTGTTTTATTTGCCAGTTTTATTAGAGAGTGTAAATATCACAAAAAATAATTTGTAACTTATAAATTATAACAGTATATATAAAAATCATAAAAAAAAAGTAAATTAACGTGTTATTTATTTAAATCACAAAAAAGTGTAAATATCACTATTCAGTCTGTGGTACTAATACAAATGTTTGAAATGTGAACTTAAAAATCTTATTCTTCTTCATCATTATCGGTTATTATTTATGAGTATATATGTAATGAATCTGAAAAAAATTTGAGCCCTAAAGTATGATATGCAAATACAATGTGAATAACAAACTTACCAATTTAAAAAATATTGAAATGTTACGCACTTTCTTCATAACTGCAACCTTGTTTGTATAGATACAAATATCAGACTACGAATCCTGGGTCGAGTTATCGTTTATAGGAGGATTGTAGGAGGTTTGTTTTGGAGGAAAGTGTGCTAATAATATTAAATACTTTTGACTTTTCAAGCGGATTCGAGCGGGTGAGATCGTTTTGAATTTTTATTTTGTATTGAAATTTAGTTCATATAATTTTTCTT